ACTATCTTGGCATGTGACAGCCCCATAGAATGTCAGACCAGCTCTCCCTCCAAACATCTGGAGTATAAGAAGAAAATAGGTTTTGATCTTATCTAACTGATTTATTGTTGTGATTAATATACCTATGAGCTCTTGATACTTAGTGGGCCCCAATAAATGCTCTCAATTCATCCTTTTCTCTCAGCAGATTGAGATGTAGGACTTTGTCTGATACTTCTCTGTCCACACACAAACTTACACATTTGTGCCACCGCCATCCAGTTGAGGTTTGATACCTTGCACGTGCGGAGGCAGTGTATCAGCATCTTCATTCATTTATCAATTCACTCTTTCATCCATTATTATCATCCACAATATGCCAGGCTCCGGCCTTGGAGACTGGAGGACTCAGCATCCAGTGAGGGAGACAAGCATAACAAGATGGAAAACAGCCACCTGTCATTGGAAAGTGAGCTGACTCTAGTGCCAGGTAAGGCAGGGACATGGTCCCCAGCCCAGCTGGTGGATGCACGGGCTGGACAGGCATCGTGGTGCAGCTGGACAGTACTCAAGGTAAGCACATGTACTCTCTCTCTCCCCCAATAATCCTCCCTCTGGTACCTGTCCCTGAGTGACACACCAGAAGTCCCTGAGACTCATGTAACACATGTTCACTGCAGTTTTGCTTTGGGAGGGGGAAGCTGGAGGTGGCCTGTGTCTATCCCTTAAGGAATGGGAAAAGAAGGTCTGGCAGGTGTGTGTATGGCATGCATGCTGAGCAGTCGCTCAAAGCAGTAGATCTGAGTTAAACTGAGTACACAGCAATGTTAAGGAAACAAAATACAGTAATAAAAAATAATAACAACCTAAGAAACAGATTTATAGAAACTACTTTTTTTTTTCCTTTGGAACCAGGGATTGAACTCAGGCCCTTGCACTTGCCAGACAAGCACTTATTCTACTGAGCCATCTCCCTGGCCCCAGAAACTACTTCTTGTGTACATTAAGAACCTACCCACACAAATCAGTAGCAAGTATATTCCAGAAGGACACATACATATACAGAGACAGGCATCAAAAGCATTGGAACAAGCATCCTGTGTGGAGGGATGGAAGAGAAGGATCAGGAAGAGACGTCACAGTCTATTGTGATGCATGTCATGAGACGTGGCATTGCAGTGGGGCTGTGGGAGGAGTGAAAAGCCACCCTGAACCCTAACAGACACTAGGGCTGTGTGGGCCTCCCCAGGGACAACAGGAGCAAAGACTGGTGCCACAGAAGAAGGACAAGTGCTTTAGCAATTCAGAAGACCAGGAGCCATGGTTAGGGTCAGCCAGCAAGGCTAGCACTGTCCCCTCAGCCTCTACTCCCTTGGCCACTGCCACTCAGCCCTCACATGCCTCTGGGCTGTCTGTGAGGTAGATGGCAACAGAGAGGCAGAGCAAGGGCTGCGAAGTCCAGAGCCACTGTGGACTTCTGGCAAGTCATTTCTCCTGACTGTATCTATTTCCCCATGTATAAAATGAGAAGAATGACTATACCTATGTCAGAAGCTTGTGTTGGGCAGGAAGTGAACTTGTATTCTATTGGAGAGAAAGTGACCAAAGAGTAACCAAGAGAGTGGACCAAAAATATATTGTGTCTCCACTGCTGTATTTCCAGAGCTCAGAAATGTGCCTAGCATGCAGCAGGTGCTCGACAAATGCTTGCAGAATGAATGAACGGTAACGATAAATGCTATGGAAGAAGACACAGCAGGACAGGGTAAGAGGGAACACTGGGGTGTGGGCAGGCAGGAGGGAGTAACCTTTTGAACTAGTGGTCCTGGGTCCCGTGAGGAGGAGACTTGAAGGAAGATTTAAAGGAAGTAAAAGGATACACTCTTGGGGATACCTGAGGACAGTGATGTGAGGGACAGAGAAGAGCCCAGTGTGGTCCCAACAGTGAGGCACAGAGTGGCAGGAGCTGAAGCCTCCTTGTGTGGATGGACTAAGAACACCACAGAAGCCCCCTCTACTGCCAGGGACAAGTCCTAGAACAGTGGGCAGGCTCAGTCCTATCCCAAGGTGCCAGCCCCCAGCACAGTAACACAGACGACAGATCTCTCTCTCTCTCTCTCTCTCTCTCTCTCTCTCTCTCTCTCTCTCTCTCTCCCCACTCCCTCCCTCTCTCTCTCCAGACTCCTCTTGGTTGCCAGGGCCCATCTTTCTGGGCATCACCTCAAGTCACTGTCACCAGCTTAGCCTGGTCTTCACAGCACGAAAATGACACTAAGAGGCAGCTGATCTCCAAACCAAATTGGATCTCTCTGATGCTAGACCCTGGCTCATTCCTGCCACATTGTTCTGAAATTCTTTGTTTACAATTTGCCTTCTGTGGGCTGCAGCAGCCTGCCTCCTTCTCATTCATGGTTTTCTTTTACTCCCAGATCCCTTGTGTTAAAACCTGCCCAAGAGAATGAATGAACGAGCCAGCCAGTCTTCCGGGCCAGTTCGCGCTCTGTTGAGCATCTCCAGTCCTCAGCTGGAACTGGAAGGGGGCTGACAGAGGAATCTCAAGTTGCCTGAGGGTCAGGAGCTAGGAGGAGGGGGAGAAGGGGGAGAAAGTGAAAGTGAAGGGAGCTAGGAGCCCCATGAGGAGGTGCAGACAGAGAAGGAAATCTCCCAGCAATAATTCATCTGCTCAGGAAGCAGCAGCAATTGCAGGGCCTGGGGCTGCCTGTGGGACAGGCCCTGCAGGGAGGGGCCGTGCAGGCTCTCTCTCCTCCTAGGAAGCCCAGCCTGGCCAGGGTCACGGTCAAATGGTATGGGGGAAGGGGAGCCAGGTGTGGGAACAAACTCCTATAGATCTTGGATTCTGAAGACTTAGGGGCTTCTCTCCCAACAGTCAAGGGAAATTCCAAGTCCCTCTCTTCCCTTCTCTCTGGCTGGAGTCAGAGAACCTGAAGACATGCAGGATGGAAAGCTGGAAGGCACCTCCAAGAACATGGGGACCCAGAGAAGCCACATGCACCCAGAAGCCTTCTGCCAGTCCTGTCACCCTACCACCATCTGAGCTGAAGAGAAAGACCTTTTTGATTAGGGCAGTAGTAGGATGAAGCTGGAAAACAGATACAGGTGATGAGGGACCCCAGTGGCCATCTACAGTTCATCTTACTCTTCTATGGCCTCTGTGGAGGACAGATAGGTTGAGGCATCTGGAAGGAAGACAGGCATAAGGAAAGACTGTGTGCAATGATACTGTGGAAGTGGACTCTCAGAAGTTGTGATGCCAGACAGGTTGGGCACATGTAGGAGACACTTCCAGGTCCTCGTCTCGGTTCAAGAAGCCAATATTTGTAATCCCAAAGTTAAGTTATTGGAATCCCATCAAGCTGATTCCAATCTACCACTTTCAGTGCAACTCACAGCTAAAATAAATACACTAAATTATATTTTCAATCATCAGGGAGTCAAGGGACTCTAAGTCCAGCCACAAAGATGGCTTTCTGGAACCAAGAGAGTGACCCAGGGCCTCACCCAGTTTTTATTCAGTGGCGGAGTGGCTTGAGGAGGATTGACTGAGAATTGTGGGAAGTAGGTGATCATTGTGAGCTGAGCTAGGTGGGTGGCCTACATTTACCCAAGGCCAATTGATAAATAGAAGTCCTAGCCAGCTCTGTACATAGGAAATAGGGTCAGGCTCAGTCAAAATGGAGACAGTCGCTCTTCTTTCAAGGAGAGCTGCTCGGGTGGTCCTCCACAGGTGGGCACCCTTACTCAACCACCTGGAAGGCTAAAGACATGCTCTCTTATTTATGTATTTATTTAGATAGGGTCTTGCTCTGTAATTCAGGCTGGTCTCGAACTCTCAGCAATCCTGCCTCTTCCTTCTGCACCGTGCCCAGCTCAACCTTCTTATCTGTAAATTAGAAATACATGGCCCCAGTGGAGAGCACTGAAGTTCCCAGAACTATGCCAGCTCTGTGAGGGCCATGAGGCAGAGGGTTTTTTTTTTTTAACTCTCTTTCTTCTTATTTATTTATTTACATTTATTTATTGTGTGGGGGGGGGCAGCTCAGCCCACCAGGGGGGCGGGGCTGGCTGGCATGTGGTGCTGGGGGATCGAACCGCGGTCCCTGTGTTTTGCCAAGCTTGTTCCAAGTAGGTGCTGACCACTGAGCCATCTCCAGCCCAGGCAGAAGGTTTTTAATCTGTACACATCTCATACCTAAAACCAGGCCTGACACTTAGTAAGGACCCAATAAGTACTTGTTGGATGAGCAAATGAATGAACGGAACCACTAATGTTTGTGTTTTATGCTTTTAAAGATTGCTGCTAGGAAGGAGACATTGTTGAATCCCTTTTTGCAAAAAATTATAGCGTTTGGGGGCCTGCCCCTTAGCTCAGTTCTTTAAGTGACTACTTCAACAAAGCTGTCAGGCTCAGATTGCTGTGGTTCGAGCCCCCCAACTCAAGTCAGCCAAACCTGCCCTGAAGGCATTCGGAGCAAAAAGAAAAAAAAAAAATTATAGCGTTTGTCCAAGTGTTCTCCATGGACAACACCATCTTGCACAAGACGTAGATTCCTGGGCCACGCTCCAGAACAGCTGAATCAAATGGGACAATCTGAAAGCCGTAGTGTAAAAAGCCCCTTTGGTTCTTATGCACAAGTTGGAGAACCAGAAGATCAGAATCAGAGGGCTGGATGACTTCACTTCCCAAATGAGGTCACAGGTCAACCTAGAAAAAGCGACCTGCTCTCGGTCAGAGTCCGGAGCTGAGCTACACTCCACCCACCCAGACCTCCAGCATTTACCCGGTTCACCCTCAGAAATCCGAGCCCCTCGGGGTGGGGCACCCGCTCGCTAGCCGCTTTCAACCTGGAGGAGAGCGGCGCGTTGCCATTGGCAGAGGAGCGGACAGCACCTCCCCATTGGCCGGCGGAGCCCCCGCCCCCTACTAGGGCCGCGTTGTGATTGGCCCCTCCCTTGGCTATAAGGCAGTGGCTGGCAGGCCGTGGGAGCGCGCGGGAGCGCACGGCGGGGCGCGGCAGGCGCAGGGACGCGGCGCGGGGAGGACGCAGCTGGGCGCCCATGGCGTTCGCGCTGCTGCGCCCCGTCGGCGCGCACGTGCTGTACCCGGACGTGAGGCTGCTGAGCGAGGACGAGGAGAACCGCAGCGAAAGCGACGCGTCAGACCAGTCGTTCGGTTGCTGTGAAGGCCTGGAGGCGGCGCGGCGCGGCCCCGGCTCCGGGGGCGGGCGACGGGCGGGCGGTGGCGCGGGCCCCGTGGTGGTGGTGCGGCAGCGGCAGGCGGCCAACGCGCGGGAGCGGGACCGCACGCAGAGCGTAAACACTGCCTTCACGGCGCTGCGCACGCTTATCCCCACCGAGCCGGTGGACCGCAAGCTGTCCAAGATCGAGACACTGCGCCTGGCGTCCAGCTACATCGCGCATCTAGCCAACGTGCTGCTGCTGGGCGACGCGGCCGACGACGGGCAGCCGTGCTTCCGTGCGGCTGGCAGCGCCAAGAGCTCCGTCCCCGCCGCCGCCGACGGCCGCCAGCCACGCTCCATCTGCACCTTCTGCCTCAGCAACCAGCGCAAGGGGGTGAGTGCACCGTGCTTGCGACCGCGGAGCTGGGCTTGACGGGAATGGGGCCCCTCGGGGAGCTGGAGGTGCGGAGACCCCAGTGGAGCCAAGGCGAAGCGACTAGGGTTAGTGTGGCGCGCAACAGAACCACTAGCCTCCTGTTCTCCAAACAGAAGGGTGCAGAGAATCCCTGAACTTGGCTCCAATTTAATTGCTCATTGATGGATACCGGATACCGCTCCAGCTAAAGGGTTATTGAGATGTCCTTCCTCCCGCATGAGAGGTGAGGATAGAATAAGTCAGACCTCGCTTGCAGAGCGCCTCCTTTCTCTGTGCTCCATGCACTTTGTGGCCTTCATCTAGCTTTTCCCCTGCATTTGTCAGGAGGAGGACTTAGGCCCTGGGAGATGTAATCCCCAGCCTGCATGTACAAGGTTCAGGCTCTGGGGTTGCTGAGCTACCTGGTCTTCACTTGTCCCTCATCCTCAGAACTGACCCTAGAGCAGAAGACCCGGGAGAAATGGGAGCACATACTGTCAGCCCAGAGCTTGAACCCAACTGATGAGCAGAAGGATGAAGCAGGGGGTCCCCTGAAAGGATGGAGGACAGGACACTCCTGGAGCAGCTGGACAGAGCTGGAGTTAAGCTCTGGCTTTGTGTCCTGTGTGAGGGGTGAACCAGGCCTGAGGAGTTGGGTAGCAGCTGGGTAACAGCAGAGGCTGCCCAGGATCCTCTTGGCTGAAAACTTATACAGGCCCCGAATAACCTGCTTCATGCCCAACCACTCCCCTTTTCTGACCTGCAGTTTTCTACGGAAAGGAAAAACCTACCACTGTGACAGCAGTGGGTTTTAGCAGCTACCACTTACATCTGGGAAACATGCTCACAGAGTTCTGCCCAGCTTTTGGTGTCCCATGGAAGGTTATTGCTGGGGAGGAAGGAAAGTTGCACTCAGGGCCCCTGACTCCACCAGACTTTCATCCTCATGGCTGCTGTAGATTCCCTCTGCTTCAACCCAAGCTGGGGAGGCCTCTCTGTATTGGCGTCACCCCACACTCTAGCTCGTCAGACCTCTAGACTGGCTTCTCATCCCTTGGCTGCCTCAGTTTCCTGCATTAATCTTCTTAGGCTCTGATTTGTACCCTTTGCCATTTCCTGTTGTGGGTCCCTGACAGTGCCTGGCTGGGCTGGGAAGCCAGGGCTGAGCCCTCAGACATACAGCCAGTGATGAAAAGGCTGCCTGGTCCCTCCTTGACTGCCTTTCTCTGCTGCATTCAGCTTGGCAACCTTGAAAACCCAGCAGCTGGCTTCTGTTGGCGCTGAGAATGGACCTGGAGAAGCAGGCAGTGGGTGCTAGCCAAGCCAGGTGCTTCCACTGATGTGTCAGGGGCAGAACAGGGTGATGAAGACAAGGATTTTGTGGTCTGATGGAGATGAGAAGAGGATGTCACAAAGGGACTGTCAGAACCCAGAGGAAGCCCGGACCCAGGGCAAAGCTGAGGGGCTTCCTTGGGAAATTGCAAAGAGAGGGAGAGGGAAAAGTGTTCTAGGAGCCCACACCAGTAGCTGGGGGCCAGAATCATGGCTGAGAGAAGGAAGTAGGAAGAAGTTAAAGATGGTGGGAGTATAGAGATGCAGATTGGCAGTGACAATGACACCGTCTTCCTGAGCACAGATTTGTGCTCAGCATTCTTCATGAGTTATCACTGCGATTCCTCAGCAAGTAGGACAAGAGCACTATGGCTGTTCCCATCCCTGATCCAGTGATGGAACAGCATCCTCACTCAGGCCTGCCTGATTGGAAAGGGGTCTAGCGATATTAAGGGCCTGGTGAGAAGGGCTGTCTGTCACAGGCCCATCCCCACACCAAGCAGGCTGGGGGCTTCTCTGTGGGTCTCAGGCCCCTGGCTCATGGGGCCCTGCTTGGGCTGGCTGTGTCCCTGGGATCTATGTATGGGACTAAGAACCCAACCAAATAAGGTTGTAGAAGCCATGTGCAAAGCCATGGCTCCTCTGGGAATAATGAGAGAGGTGATCCTCGCCAGCACTGGCCCCTCCAGGACTCAGCTAGAAGAAAACTGTCTTGGGGAACCCCTGCTGTCCTCTGAGCTCTGAGGTGTGGGAAGCCCCAAAGTCCCACACCCTGTCCCTTCACTTTGAGTCACTACTCCCTCCTTCCCTGGCCAGTCTGGTTTGGGGTCTCTATGGAAAGTTTCCCAGAACACCTTGCTGTTTATAGGGCCTGAGGGATGGCCTCTGTGGTAAGAGCAGTGTGTGGGAGAGGGAAAGGCAGGTTTTGTCTCTGCCCTGTTTCCCTTTTATCCTGGGGGTAGGGGCTAGACTGTATCCTCTGGCGAGGCTGACCTCTATTGTGCCCAGCTCAGAAGCAGACGTGGTAGGGGCGCATAGCAGGGGCCAGAAGATCCCATCACCAGACAATGCGGACAACCATACTGTGAACGCTTACTGAACACTTGCTCTGTTCCCTATGATGTGCTTGGAGTTTTACCCATTAGCTTGTGTGACCATGTTAACTTGAGCCCCTTAAAAATCACCTTACAGGTGAAGAAACTCAAGTTACTTCACTTTACAGGTGAAAAAACTCATGCTCAGTGAGGTGCAGTTCCTTGCCTAAAGTCTGGTGCAGAGCAGGGCCTGCAGGCCAGGACTTGAGCCCTAGCCAGAGTGCTTCACAAACGCTCTTGATCCTGACTTCATGGGGTACAAACTGGGGACTGGTCAGGATCTCTTCTAAAGGTTCGTGGCAGTTTACACATTTGGCCCTGTCTAGATCAGTAGCTACAACCATTTGTCACCATTTCCTAGATGAAGAAACAGGTTCAGGAAGGTGGAGAGTCCCAGCATTCTCATGGGATCCAGGTGTCCAGATGACCACCAGACACTGTGTAGGTGGTTTCCCTAGGATTTAAAGACAGGAAGTGGAGAGGCCCATTTTCTATCCCCAGTCCCAACCCTACACCCCCTCCCCTGCCCCATCCTTCCTTCTCAGCCTCCGCTGCCAGAGTTTGTCTGAGAAGCCCAAGCCCAAGGCTCAGCTGGGACCATGGCCTCAGCCCTCAAAATAGCCCTGCCTGTGAGTGAACATGCTGTCCCTGGGCCCAGAGAGCCTCAAGGGAGGCTGGGCCACATCTGGATGGATCTGCCCCAACCTGGGCCCGGGATGGAGGGGGGCAGAGGCAGAGGCAGGGTGTCCAGATGGTCTGTGACATCCCTTGTTGGGCTGAGAAAGCTGCCGCTCCCTCTTCTCCAGGCTGCATTCTGGGCACAGAGCATTCACGGTCATGTTTCAGATACTTTAGTGTCCTAGAAGCAAGACAGCTTGTTGGACAACATAGATTTCCAGCCAGGCTATTTCACCAACTGGCCAAGAGCCTCTGGGCTGCCCATCTGAGGCTAGAGACCTCCAAAGAGGGGTGCTATAATGGTGCAACTTCTCTGATCTATGAGGAAGATGAAGCCTGCGTGTACAATCTGAGAGTACTGGCAGAAGGGCTATCAGAGACTGCCCCTGAGGAATGAGGGGCAGGTAGCCTCAGGGACCACCATGAGCTCATCTTCCAGTGTCCTCAAGCAGCATTAAATGGCACTTGCTCTGTGTCAAGTCTTGGACTGGGAAGGGACCGTGGAGTTACAAACCACGGAGTTGCTTTCTCCCTACCACTACCACTCCCAGCACTCTGGCCCGATGGGGAACGAAGGAGAGACCTTGTCTGCTCCTTCTGGGTTGTATCACAGGGACTGTCCCCAAAAGGCAGGACATACTAGGCAATTTCAGTAGAAGACCCTTCCTTTAGGTAAAAGACCTGAGAGCATGTTCCCAGCAAAGGGAATACCCCCCCGTGGAGGAGGGAAGCCAGAAATCCTGCTCTACTGTAACAATTTCTCAGTCAGGCCATGCCCAGACCTGAATTGTTGTGGGTTCACCTGAGTTCCATCCCCAGGGGTGCCCTTCCACTGAGTTACATCCCCAGCCATTTTGAGCATTTTTTATTTGAAAGCTGTCTTGCTAAGTTGCCCAGAGGAGATTTGAACTTGTGGTTCTCCTGCCTCAGCCTCTCTCACTACTGGGATTACAGACATGTACCACCACACTTGGCTAAAATTAGATTTTTTAAAATTAAAAAAAAAAAGGGAGGGCCTTCAACGAAGGGACCAAAGAGATAGATCAGTAGAATAAGCACTTGCCTGGCACGTGCAAGGGCCTGAGTTAAATCCCCGGTTCTGAAAAAAAAAAAAAAAATTCAAATAGCTTCAGCGAATTAAAGCGCCTGCTTAGGCAGACACAGGGGCTGGGAGTTTGATCCCAGGCCTGCCATGCCAGCCCCGCCCCCGGGCAATTAAGACTGGGCATGGTGGCGCACTCCCCCCAGCACTTGGGAGCCTGTAAACAGGAAGATCACTACGAGTCCGATCTATACAGTGAGACCCTGAACACCCTGTACACCCTGTCCTAAATACAAAAAAAATAAATAAAGAAGAAAAGAAAAGAACAGTCTCAGTTCAAGCCAGAGGAAATGATCCAGTTCAATTCAGAACTGCTTGCAGTGAGATATATGAACTACAGCCCTGTCTTGAGCATATTAGGCTTACAGTTTATATCTATTTGTCCCCATAAAGCCTCATGGGGTCGTACACAGGACTCCTGGGAGGTCACCTGATTACAGGATTTATAACTACATTGCTGGTAGGTCTGTTCTGGTCAGAAGAGGCAGGGTACTGACCACGCAGCCTTCCTTGCCTCTTCCCTTCTCTCTCTGCTCCCTAGATGCCCTGAGGTGGGCATCTTCTGCCAGACCCCTCTGTGATACCATTCTGCCTTGCAGCCTGCATGCTACAGTAAGCCAAAATCAACTTTCTTCCTTTAAGTGTGGGTGCCAGGTATTTTGTCACAGTGATGAAAAAGGAATAAGATTACCTGTTAACTTCTCAAATCAGTGAAGATCTGAAGACACATGATATAAAAAGCTCAAAAAAAAAAAAAGAATGATCACTCGGCAAAGACAAGGAAAAGATAAAAGAGTACATAAAGTGAAAAGGTCTCTCTCCCATCCTGTCTCCCCATCATCAAATTTGTGTTCTCTGAAGACACCCAATTTCCTGTATGTTCTTGTCTGGGAATTACAATACATGAGAGTATTTGCTCCATCCTGCCCTAGTTTTTGCTTCTAGACAGTGCCTGTGTTCCTAGTGACCTGACCCATCCTCCTAATACCTCTTTCTCTCCCTGTAGGTTGGCCGTCGTGACCTGGGAGGTAGCTGCTTGAAAGTGAGGGGAGTGACCCCGCTTCGAGGGCCACGGAGATGAGCCTGAGCCACTGCAGCATTTGTTCCAAGTAGGACTCTGGAGAAGGAAGCCAGCTACTGGCTGGGCAGGGGAAAAGACCCCAGATGACATCAGACCCATCGCTTCTCTGTAGGGACCAGAAGACAATGGCATGGGCCCAGGGTCTTTTGGGGGAGGCCCCTGGAACATCTCCATCCCACCCTGGAGACCTGTGAGGACCCTTCCAGCGTACACGGGCCTAGCTGCTCAGAGACATTGGAAAAACCAAAGACTTGGTGACCTGTAGAGGTTGTGCGTGTGTGTGCATGAGTATGCGTGTGCATGAAAGAGAGAGAGTTGGTGGGGTTTGAAATAAAAGTATTTTTAAATAAGAGATGTCATTTCCAGCTGAGGAAGGGAAGGGCCTATGAACAGCAGCAGTTGGAGATGGCCCCTTGCAGGACCTAGAAGGGGACACCAAGTGTCAGGGAATGCCAGCCCTGGAGTAGTGGGTTAGAGACTGGTATCCAGGCAGGCCAAGACAGAAGTGGAGGTGACCAGACCTCCCACTTCCTGATGTGTGCAGTGTCATTGAACAACCACTTTGTGTCTGGGACAGTGGGGAAAGAAATCCTAATTTTATTTATTTTTGCATAAGGATTAAATCTGTGTTCAACATTAAGGTGTACAGGCATGTAGGGTGGTGTCTCCCTGGCCTCCAGCCACTACTTCTCCTCCTAGAGGCTGCCTGGTCACTGTGTTCTGAGATGTCTCCTGCCCTATGAACACTCAAGCAAATGCACAAAGCACAGGACACTTTACACACTTTCTGCTTCTTCCTTAATCTAGCTGGCTATTTCCCCAAATCAATCTGGAAACAGTGTCCTGATTCCTCTGTTAGCTGATCTTTCCATTTTATGAACAAACATACTCCAGCCCATCCCTTGTTGATGCTTAGAAATAATATGATATGGTCGTGCAGTTTTCCATGCAAATGAGTGTATGCTAAAGGTGCGTATACACTCTTATCCTTGTTTCAGCAGAAATGATTTGGAGGACTGACACTCAGAGGCACATGGCAGGGTGACACCCTGAGGCCTGTCCACTGTTTAAAGCAAGCCCGGAGCAGCTCCTTCCCTTTCCCAGTGAAATGCCAGTCCCTGGGACCCTGGATTGATGCCCACAGCCTTGGTGGTGAGAGCTGGGTCAGGGCTGGTCAGTGAGCCTAAGAGGCCTTGGTACTCCAGGAGTCCCCTGTTGCTCTGAGGCCAGAGGGAGAGGCCAAGGCAGCCAGCCAGATAGGCTTGTTGTTAATTATTATTTTCACTGAACAAGATTTTTCTGTAATGTTGGTGTTCTGCGGTTGGGTTGCATGTCCGTGCTTGCAGTTCCTCCCACGAAGCTGACCCTCCAATGAGCCCAAATGGGGCCAGCCCGTGTGCCAGGTTCTATCTCAGTCCCCACAGGGCTGAGCTTAGGCCACCTGCCTTTTCTCCCAATGAAAACCCTTTGAGAACAAGGAGTTGCCAGAATTGCCAGTCTCAAGCCACCCACTTAACCCAGAAGAGCTTTCCAGGCACCCTCCCCTCCTTCCCAGTGTCCTGTGGACACTGCCTCGCTTATCCTGCATCCCAGCGGGCCACACTTCCCCTTCGGGAGCTAATTAGGAAAGCACATTGCTCTCCCTGGACCTACTTTGGTCCAGGTACAGGCAGCCTCTGGCAAAGCCACAGGAAGAGGACTGTGACCTTGTCAATGACAGGAAACCTGGGAGTGGGGGCAGGGCAGATACTTGGGTGCACTGGGCTGGAGGCTCTCTTCAGACCACAGATTTGCTGGGTGACCCGAGACTTGTTTCTTGACCCCTCTGAACCTTCCTGGCTTGATCTGTAACCAGCAAAAGCAAGTAGAACAGAAGTGTTTGTTTTTAACTTTGTTCATTAATTTTGAATAGACCACTTAGGAGCTGGGCAAGTGGTTCAAGTTGTATCAAATAGTGTGCAGCAAAAAGCACACAGTCCCCCAGGCCCCTCCCTGAAAGCAGCTCCTGTCTCCTGAGGATGTCTTTATGGTAAAAAGTTCAAAGAATGAGACCCTAGAAATAAAATCCACCCCAAAGAGGCTGGGGAGATAGCTCAGCAGCATAGTGCCTGCTTGGCAAGTGCAAGGTCCTGAGTTCAATCACCAGTACCAAAAAAAAAAAAAAAAATTACCCCAAAGACAACCACAGCATGCTACACACACACACACACCCTCATCCACACATAGCATCAGTGCTGAGAAGTGCATGTGTGTAAGTGCCCTCCTCCCAACGCCATGTGCCTGGGGACCCAGCAAGTGGATCACAAGATGCAGTGAGCAGCCCGTCAGGAGCCGGGTGCGAGCGCTTCCTCTAGCTCTGAGCTTTTGTTCATACCTCCTTTGAGGCAGAGAATGCACACCCAGAGTTCACCATTCCAAAGACACAAAAGCAAGTAAACTGACAAGTCTCTTTCCCTCCCAGCCACTCAGCTCTGGTTGTTGGAGGCAATTACTTTTCACCAGGATTCCTGCAAAGAGGATCTGCAGATAGAGGCACTTTAAACACACACACACACACACACACACACACACACACACCAGAGTTTCTCCACACAACTGATAGCCTTTTGCACTGTTCGGCACTTAGATTTTCCCCCTTCCGGGCCGCTCAGAACCCATACTGTCCCACAGCTGTTCCCACTGTTCCTGGTTGCATAGTGCTCCTTTCTACACTCTGCTGCTTGCAGGCTTCCTGGATAATGGACAGTTAACATCCATGAGCGTGAGCTGCAGGAGCAGGCAGCACATGTGACTTGGGAGAAGCACAGCTGTGGACCAATACCTCTGGGGCCATTTTCCTAATGCTGCCCCTCCCCTAGGCACACTTCCCGTCTCCGGGATGGGACACCCCAGCCAGCCTTCTCCAGGCTGGCTTGAAGCCGGAGGAGTTAAGTTGTTCAGGGAGAAAAATCCCAGGGCTCAGGAGAGTGCAGTGATCAGGACGATCAGCTTCCACTTCACAATGAGGAAACGGAGACAAGACAGAAGAAAAGACCTGCCTGAGGTCCCCGGCAAGTGTGCAGCCGTGCTGGGCCACCAGAACCCAGGTCTCCCCTCCCCCTTTCCAGGCAAGTCTCTGTCCTCTAATTCCACAGTCACAAGTTTGGAGGTCACCCACAGCCATGAGGAAACAGAGGGACAGCGGTGGGCCACAGGTGCACAGCATTTGGTGCTGAGCAGGGCTTATTTAGTGTTCAGGGCTCTTCCCTTGTTGGCCCAGGCCACTTCTGTTTTATGAAGCTCCTATTATAAGTTTAAAAATAAAAATGAAACTAAGGATATGGCTCAGTGATAGAGCATGTTTTCAGCATGCATGAGGCCCTGGGTTCACTCCCTAGCACAAAAAAATAATAGTAGTAAATAAAAATATCACAGAAGAGTTCTGAAAACGATAGCCTATTTAGCAAGTTAACTCTTAACCATCTGCACCCAGTACTGAAGCACAATGCATCATCTTGCAAGCATGATATGGAGGGTTTACAAAAGCACTAACTCCTGGGAGGTACCCGCAATGGTGAATGTCTTCTGTGCTGCCTGTGTCTCTTGCTGCTGTTCATTTTGGCTCCTGGGTCGTCTGTGATATTAGAGTCTGGAAGTGCACAGCTACATGCAACGTGTGACCTTGGACCGGAGCCTGTACTACAGGGTGGGGGTGGGGGATTGCCACGGAGAACATTACTAGGACAGTTGATAAAATTAGAATTGAGACAATGAAGTACTGTATCAAAGGTAAATTTTCTGCCTTTGCTAACAGTTCTGTGGTTATGTAAGAGGATATCCTTGTGCTTAAGAAATTAGTGTTCTGCAGGGATAGAGGAGCATGATGTAGGTAATGTACTCTTAAATGCATCTGAAAAGATAAATATTATGCCTGTGGGGGAGAAACATAAAGCACACACTGACCGGTGTAAATTTGAGGAATCTGAGTGAGGGGTATCCAGGGTTCCCCACACTCCTTTCCATCTTCTCTGCATGTTTGAGAATGATTGCAAAATGATGAGTTAGGAAGCCAGGACCTTGGTGTATGAGGATATGAGGGCTGCCAAACCAGTCCCTGTCCCTCTTTGACCCGCCCTTGCCTTGGCCAACCCAAGAGAGGACAAAAAAGACCCCAGGGGACCGAGGCACCCTGCCTGTGACTCTCGGGGCCCTATGCCCCCCTGGAGGATAAGGTGGTGCTGGCCCCCAAGTCTCCTGCCACCATGATTTATGTCCCTGTGAGTCTCAGCAGCTGTGTGCTCGGGTCCCACTGGGCAGCCAGCTGGGGGGCCAGCCTTTGCTTCTCAGCGTGTCTAATCTAGACCAGACTCACAGACCCCACGGGCCTGGGATCAGCCTCCCAGGAGGCCAGGGTCAGAGGCCAGGCCAGTGGGGCCTGGAAACTGAGAGGAGGGGTGGTGTTGAGTGTGAACCAGCTGGAAGGCAAAAGACCTTGCCTGGTCTAGGTTGAGCACTGCTCCTGTGTGATGCAGTGTGGATGTCTGCCCCTCTCTGAGCCTTGCTGTTGCTCATATATCATGGCCTGCTCGTAGTGAACCAGAGAGCTTTGTCAACTGAGAAAGACTGGTTTGGGGAAGGAAAGCAAGTGAAACATACAAAGGTTCTGTAGACTTAGAAGAAAAATGTCTGACATTTCTGAGGGCCTACTATATGTCATGCCTTAGTCTATATGCTGGACATATCTAGCTTGCTAGGTATGTGCTATTACTGCCTTATTTTTATAGATAAGGAACATAAAGACGAGGTTAAAGAACAACAGTACATAGGTGGATCCGAGCCAGTGGATGGCCACAGAGGCCCTTGGGCCCTCACGACCACCCTGTTAAGCACACTAACCCACAGCCTGTTCCAAATGACTGACCGGAGACCCCAACCCACCCCCAGCATACATAGCCAGGTACTGTCACCTTCCCACATCCCATACCAGAAACCCAAGCTCAGAATCACAGGGCCAGAAAATGGATGGCAGGGCAAGATTCAAACCCCAGGGATCTCTCTTCAGACCGCATGGCGCAGGCCACTGCAGAAGGCAAAACTCACAGGAGGCGCAGCACAGGGTTCAGTGTCATAGGTCTCAGGGTCTAACTTCAGCTTGCCCGGGCTCTGCTGACTGAGGAGGAATGGTCTTGGGCTATATATAAAATGTATAACAGTTAATATATATAAGTAACAAAACTTCCTTTATCTTTCAAATAGCATAACATTAAAATAACACAAACCTAAGTTTACTAAGCAAATATGAACACTTACATGTCTGCTTAATAACAATAAACACCCGTCTTCACAGACACACACACACACACACACACACACACTCTGCTGGAAGCTTGAAAATCTATTACACTAGTAAAAGTCGGTTTTACACACAAGTGCATGTAACATCTTATAGTGTTTTGGGTCAAATGACTGACTTGAGAAA